ACCCTCTAACTCTACAATTGGACAGGGTTCTACTGAAGCATTACTACAAGAACATCTACAGAACATTGAGGAACAGCCTTGTGCGTAAATGGTATCAGATTGTCAATCAGCAGAAACATCAAATGACTCGGATCAGATCGGGACATCCTGATTCAAACTTCCTGTTTTCCTTACACTCCATCTAGGTCACATCTGTCTGAAACAGAGTCACAGTGATCCATGTTCTGGTCAGGTGACTTGAGTGAAGCAGGGCTCAGTGTGTTCTGGATGCATCCAGAGGGAATAAGGTGGCTTCAGTGCTCGTGTGCAGATGCTGTGAATCTTAGTATCTGGAATATAAATGTCATTAAAAGCTGCTGTCACCAGTAGGGGGCGCTGCTGTCGATCTGCCCCCAGCTCTGCCACTCAGGAAAGATCCCTGCTGAGGTCCGTGGGCTTCCAAATGGGTCAAACTCCATCTGCTCCCTATTCCCTCCCCGCTGGTTCTGCAGCCCTGCTGGACTGTCAGCTCTCTGGCACCCGTTCGGATCTGACACCACCAGGCGGTAGTTGTTCCCGAGGTTGTTGTCCCAGAACGTCTGGTCTCGGGTCTGGTACTGGATACAGAACTCCACCCTGCTGCAGGGCTCGAGAAGCTCTGGCACCGAGACGGAGAAAGAGAAGGTGTCGGTGTCGGAGCAGCCGTACACGTTGTTCAGGTACTGACAGCGAACGTCCTGGAAGGAGCGCCATGAGTTGAAGGTGATCCGAACCGACACGCTCTTCTCAAAGCAGACGTTCCGGACCTGGACAGAACCAGCCAGCAGGCGCCCCTGCACAGAACACGTCTCCAGACACACCTGCTGTGCTTTGAGCCGGTTCCTCAGGTCCAGATAGTCTTCAGCTGGTGGAGTAAAGTCCAGAACCAGAACAGAACCACAGTCTGCCGAGTCTGGAGGGAAACGTGGAGAAGAAACAGATTAAAGGGGGCAGTTCAAACACATCTTACACTTTAACGTGGAAACTTGATCAGACTGTAGATTCTTCAGACCCGGTTTCCATCCAAATACAAACAGCTGCATGTTTATTGTCAATAAGCAGCATTAAAAGTAACTGTTAACTTGGTTCAGTTCACCTCAAACCCAGATCAGGGAAAACAGCAGCTTTCACAGCATGTTGCACGTTGAACTGAACACCATGAATTTAGACTCTGACATAAAAACGAGTGGAAACGTGGAAATAATTTAATGTTAACAGTGTGCAGCTTGTTTATTCACTTGGTTCACTAAAATGATGATAAATGCATTCGTCAGATTTCCTCACGCAGAAGCCGGGTCATGTGATCAATCAGACTGACCAGAACATCGTTCACCCGTCTTTATGCAGAGTTTCCTCCTCTGTCTCACTCCGGCACGTTTCTGTTTGAAGCGTTAAAGTGCTGCACAGATGAAGCCAATGATGTTTTCTGTATGTGGATATTTTCAGGTCAGATGAACTGATGTCATATTCTGGTGAATCTGGCTGATCAGAGAACATTCAGCACCATGACCAACCACAGCACGCGTCACCTGCAGGGTCCTCCAGGTGCAGTCCGGCGGCGGCGCCCTCTATCTCGGTCAGGTGGAACTGCAGCTCGGTCAGCAGCTCGTCCTCGTCGAACATGTGGACGGCGGTCAGCGCCAAGCCCTGAGAGTCTGCGAACACCACGCTCTTCTTCTTCCTCCTCACCTCGCTGCTGTCGTTGCTCTCTGCGGCCGCTGAAGATGTTGTCATGGTTACCGTGGCAACGTTGCCGCCATGTTCGGAGGACAGACAGGGTCGCAGCGTGGCGGCCGACAGCGAGCAGCGGCTGTCGTAGTTACTGAGGAAGGAGTGCAGAGGAGGAGAGCTGGCCAGACAGAACCTGACCGCCACATCCACAGGCATCATGGGAGACGGAGTCCCTGGACGAGGACTCAGGACGTGGAGAACCCTGAGAACAGACGGCAGGTTCTGTCAGTCTGCTGTTCTTCATGAACTTCATTAAATACGGATAATTACACCGTGATCCGACACGGAGACAGATCGGACCGGTGAGGCTGCAGGTCCAACAGCGAATATTAACTCAATGTAAAAATGTTATTGGGTCACGTCACGTTTTTCATTCGTCACTGCAGGATTTCTGCAGCAGTGATGTCATCGTGTGTAAAGAAGCATCACTGATCAATAAAGTAACCGATCAATCACAGCAACAGGCAGTTTGATGGATTATCGTCACACACGGACAGAATGTAAAGCTGATCAGGAAGTCAGCGCTCACAGCACAGCACCACCTGCTGACAGAAGCAGCTCAGGACACACAGACGGAGGGTTATTGATTACTGATTATTAAAGTACAAACTGAGTAAATGTATTCAGTTACTGCAGCTGTAACTCCAGCAGAGTACAGATTACTGCTCCGTGACTTTGTTACTGATTTAGTGTTAAAGGCAAAATGCTGAACTGAAAACATCAAGAAGCAGAACAGCTGGAGCTGATTGAGTCCAATAGTGGATCAATAGCTTCAAGATTCAAGACTCAAAGAGCTTTATTGTCATTTCAACCAAATCCAGCTGTACGGTGAGATGAGACGGCGTTTCCCAGATCCAGAGCTAAAGCGGTCGCGCTAAGAACGCAGCGCAGCAAGACAAGATCAAATCAGACAAGACCACAAAGAGAATAAAATAAAAATAGGATCAAGTACAAATAGAAACATTGAAACA